TGTTCGCGTAAATTTAAGAAATCATAACATTAGTATTTGTTTTTATTAAAAAAATTATTAGCTTTCGTAATTAAAAATCAAGTTTACGAAAGAAAACAGCCTTTTATCATAAGATTAAAAGTACCTGCACAATTTACAAATATCTTCAGAGACCTGCGGTTTTATAAAAATAAAAAAGAATTCACAATTAATGCAAACAATGAAATAACGCTAATCACATAAAACTATTTAACAAACTATAAACTTTTTTATACATAGAAGAAAGGGCAAACGAACATACGGCTCACCTGATGGATGATTTCACAAAGAAGTTATGGCAAGGAAGAAAACTAGTAAATCGCACAGTGGTAGTCCACCAAGCATCCAGATGGTACAGATGGTATCGTGAGTCTTGTCACGATGTGCGTTGGTGGAATTTTTTGGGAAGCCCATACGAACGAAGCTTCGAAGGAAGCGCTTTGTGCCAAACCCGAACAAAGGCCTTCGATAATATTATTTTCCATTTTATTTTATTTGGGGAGCTTACAGCTACATTTACAATCTAGATCACTATATTAAAACTTATATGCTAATAAAAAGCTTCCACATATAGGCATAATATAAATAATACATTCACAACAAATCTTTACTCAGACACACTTCCTCTAGGACTCTAATGCATCCATTATCTTGGAGTCAGGTACAGTAGACCGTTAGCAGCTGTCACGTCACACACACGTCACATGTGACGTCAGCAAAAACAGTATTGACGGTTATAATAGTTTCCATGTTATTGAAGTATAAGGAGGTATAAATTAACTGATAGGCCTGTAGTTGAACGGGTCTGAATTGTCGCCATTTTTAGGTATATCGGGTGTAAAGCTGTCTCACATGAATTCGGTACTACGCGTCTTCTCCGGTACTCCTTCTAGGCGTAAAAGGAGTAACGTAGAAGACGCGTTAAAAACGATATCCACTACGGAGCACATGTCTTCAGCACAATATAAGGAACTCCATCGCTCGACTTTTTGATGTACGGGGAGAGAAGTTCTATGCGCACTGAGCACTGATTTTTTTGAAGGACCTAGAAACGGAATTATACTTACTAATTATACTTCCTGTCTTCTTGGTGTTTGCATCCTGCTACATCGATGCGTCACCCCAGGCCCGGTAGCACTTCTTCTTATGGCGCGATGCAATTTTATAGGAGCGATCAAACCATAGCTGGGAACTACCTGCGATGGACACTACAGATGACGAAAAAGAGATCCATTCCTTGAAGTTTCACATCAGCGACAAAATCAGCAACAACGTTGGAATAATCTGACCAGAAGCAACTTTAAAAAACTTCAAAATAATTAAATGTTTTTCTTAAAATCATACGACTTTATAATCTTCAGAAACATTTTGTATGGGTAAGGAGAAAATTAAAATTATGTTATCATCAAAATAAAAGTTCATTATATTATTATCTTTAATAATAACTTACTCTTGGTATATTATCTTTTACCGAGGTACTTGGAACTATTACACCTACATTATTAAAGCTAGGTCTATTTATTTCGAAATACGCAGTTCCTTTTGCTCCATGATTCTAAAATATTTATATATTAATATTCGTTAAATACGAGTAACTCAAACATTATCACAACAGCATTCACTAAACGCCAGCTTGCAGCGCAGTAATACAAATTTTTGTTTCTAACAATCACTTCAATATTAAATCACGGCCTAGTTACACGACAGTTTAAGTTCAACGTGAAAGACTCAACTGACGTTTTATTACATAAATATTCCTGGAAGAGATATCTTAACGCCAAAAAATATTAGAACTGTCGACTGTCGAGTTTGTCATATTTTCATGCTATAAATTGTTTTGGCTTTAAGTTAGTTTTTCCCGAACTCACGACAAACTAACAATGTATTTGGCTATTTTTGCCTATCTAAATGTTTTATTTTTTGTGGTACAGTGGACCCCCGGTAATCCGACAAACATTTTGCAGAGCAGTGTCGGACAATCGAATTTGTCAGATTATAGAGAGCCTAAGACCCCTACAGTCCTTTTTTTTTTTTTTATATGTATATATATATAGTTTCCGGACTGTAGGGGTCTTAGGCTCTCTATAATCTGACAAATTCGATTGTCCGACACTGCTCTGCAAAATGTTTGTCGGATTACCGGGGGTCCACTGTATAACCTTTTTACCTTTCCTTAATATTAGCTATTTGTCTTTTAGACATATTTTACCAGGTAGGATTAATAAAAGATGTCGTTTGGTGATATTTTTCCTTTCTGTATTTATGTTCCTTAGATGAACGCGACAAGGTTTTATATCATATGAATTGTGAAATGACGTTATAAATTAATAGTAAAAGTTTTAAAGAAAAACTTTATTTTATTCTTTTTAGCGCAATTAAATAAAAGCTTGTTTAAAAAAAGTTTTTTTTACTCTTAATTTAGTTATCGCTGGACAGGTTTCTCACCCTGTTCATCTCCTTCATCGCATCATTTTTACAAGGTCGTTTGCCGGTTAATTTCGAACAGTCTAGCTCTTCAATAAGGAGACCTTCTAATGATTTTACCCTACTTAGGGCTACGTATGCTTGACCGACAGCGAAAAGCTTCGATCCTAAGTATACAACGACAAGGTACTACCCGCATTTTGTGTACTGTGCAAGCCCAATAAAATACAATTGGTAGCATTGTTCGTTCTGCAGTGCCGTGACTATATTTTGCTGGAAATTGCACAGTCTTGGGTTGAATGGGATGAACACCGTCTTTACCGAAGTCTATACGCACGGATGGTATGTCCGTATCATACATTTGTGCTCTCCGGAAGCAGGGCCATATGATTTCTGTAATATATCCAATGGCACCATTCACCAGACCTTTGGACACATCTACATTGTAACGCAACATCACTTTGGCCTCAACGAATATTTCTAACTCTAGGTAGTCCTCCTGTCTTGTTTATATTGATTGCATAGTATAAAGAATGGATTTTAAAGAACTGTTTTTACGGTATAAAAGAATATTTAGAATTTGAGCATAATTAATTAATTTGAGTAACCTTTGTTAGGCAAGTAGTTTTAATTCAGATGCAATGTACAAATCCGTAAGGGTAGAATGTGATGATACTTTTAAAAATATAAAATTAAACAAGTAAAAATCAATTAAGTAAAATTCACAATGCAATAACATAATATATTGAGTCAGAATATGTTTCTTTCTAGAGACTGCTGAAAAAATAGAAGAGCTGGAGGATGATGATTTTGGAGACATACATACGGATTCGGAGCACGATTTGCCACTACTTGCATTTGGTTCAATGAGTAAACGGAAATGTAAGACTGTAGAATTAAAAAAGGAGCGGAAAAATAATAAAAAAGATGGTGATGACATAGGTAAAAGAATTTATTTTGAAAAACTTGTAACAAATAATAATAGTTGGAGTTTTTTTTATTTTATAGTATAACGGTGACAAGCAAGCACACAGTCCACCTAATGTTAAGTGGATGTTGTGGCCCATAGACATCTGGGTCAATCAATTATTCTTTGTTCCTATCCATGTCCTCATTACAAAAAAATAAATATCTGCAAAATATGCAAAACCTTTTAATATTTTATTACTGTACAGATAAAGCTAGAATAGATAGCTGTATTATCTAATATAAATTCGATCTAATCGATGGCAAATTATTTTAATTTTATTGGTAACTTAGGGGACCTCATCACTATCTCCATATAAAATCTCATTGTCCCCACTGGCTATGTTGTAAATCGTTATCGCATTCTTTTAGAAATTTTATATAGGAGCATGCCATTAACGGCTAATATTACAATTATATAATAGTTTTCCCTTTAATATTCAATAAATCATAGTAGAATTAAGCAGAATAATATTTTTTTATTAATTTTACAAATCTTGTCCCCAATTTGATACTAAAATCAATGTCCCTTCAGTGACTATTCTTGTATTACGTACATGAAGTCATAGATGGCTCTAGTTGTGATTAATCGAAGCATTGACTTACTGGTACTCGTTTCACATGATTCCGCCATTTTGATTTTTAACCAATCACCGCTAGTTGCCCGCGTGGCGTATGATAACGTGTATGTGTTTATTCGGTGTCCCCAGAGTTTCAACGTAAAAATTGGTAAGTACTCTTTAATACAGTGCAATAATTGTCATGGATTACATTAAATACGTCTGTTTTTCATTTGTAACAATCAATTCTGTATTATTCTTGAGAAAAAGTATTATGATTAAGTTATAACCTACAAAAGTCTCTTCCGTTACCGGTCCCTTGAGTTACTGTAAATGGTAACTTAGGGGACCTAATGGTAACTCGGTGGACATTTATCGTTGCATTATTTGAAGTTGTTCTATTTCTAACCGCCTTTGTGAAGCCGGGTCGGTCGTTAGTAGTAAACACAATTGTTTTTGTTACAGACATATCATAAACATGGCTCTTACAGCGGCTGAAAAGCAAAAACGATATCGGGAGAAATTAAAAAAAGATCCGCTAAAATATAAAGAAACTAAAAAAAAGCAAAGAACATACTATCACAAAAATAAAATACTGATTAAAGATTTATCCGCTAAGGAGAAAAGTAATGCACGGACAATTTGGAAGCTTCGTAAACGCCAACAACGTCAACGCAAAAGAGCGCTTGAAATGTAATTAATATTACACCTCCCGGATCTCCTGCACCACAACGATTTGACAAAGAGCAAATATTGCTTCGAAACCAAGGAATAGTTTCCCCTGCTGTGAGTTCAAGTACAAGTAAAGTAAAGAGAGGAAGGAAAGCTGTAAGAAGAGATAGAACTAAATTATTTATAGAAAACCAAAAGCTCGAAAAGGAAAACGAAAAACTAAAACTCAAGTATGAAAAATACAAGAAAAGGTTTTATCGAATTAAAAATAAAAACCAGGAAGAATTTAAGAATACAGACTCAAAGAAATATAAAATTTTAACAGGCGCTATTAGTCAAAGATATAAGAATATTAAAAAAATGGCTGAAAAACGATTATTTAAACGAATATTCATTGGCTCTACAGTACGTGAATCGAGAGTAAAGAAACAGTTGTTGAAGGATAGTTGAATTTGGTAGGAACAATGAGATCGAGTTTAAAACGAAATAAAGGTAAGACAGATTTGCAAAACAAAATTAAGAATTTCTTTAAGCGAGATGATGTATCCAGAACCACAGCAGGTAAGAAAGAAACAGTCACGAAAGATAAACATAAAGTCCAAAAGAGATGTCTTTTGGATACTATGAAGAATCTCTATAAAACCTTTAAGCAAGAAAATCCAGATATGAGATGTTATAAGACTAGATGTTGAACATAAAGTCCAAAAGAGATGTCTTTTGGATACTATGAAGAATCTCTATAAAACCTTTAAGCAAGAAAATCCAGATATGAGATGTTCCTATTTTTATTTTACCAAAAATCGGCCCTGGTATATAAAAGTACCATAAGTCGATGGGCGTGAGATGTGCCTGTGAAAAATTCATTCCAACATAATGTACAAGGCAATAGCATTACATGGTAAACGGATACTGGAAACAAAAGTTTTGAGTGAAATAATAATGTACACTGTTTGTGATTCTACGAATAAGGACTGCATGTATGGATCTTGTCATGAATGTAAAAGAAAGAAGCTTAACTATGACAAAACAAAGTTTAAAGGTAAAGTGTATTTTAGCGAATGGACTAGAAAAGAGGACAGATATATTAAAGACGGAAAACACATTAAATCTATTAAAAATGTGAAAGAAACTAAAGAAGTAGAAATAGAATATTTAATAAAAGATTTCGAAATAGAGCTGATTCTACTGAAAAAGCATGTATATAATATAAAAACTCAATACAAAAACTTTAGACGCTGCATTGACGAAATGCAACTACACGAAGCCACCATTCTAGTAGATTTTAGCGAAAACTACAACTGCAAATATAATGAGGAAGTACAGGCACATCACTTTGGTGGATCCAGGCAGCAACTTTCGCTCCACACGGTTATGGTTTACAATTTGGACAAAAAAAATTATTGCTGAATCTTTTTATACCGTATCATCTCATACTCTGCATCAGCCTGCTGCAATTTGGGTGCATTTGCATCCTATCTTGCGAAAAATCAAATTTAGGTTCCCTGAAGTAAAAATTCTTCATTTTTTTTAGCGATGGTCCTTTCACGCAATATAGGCAAAAACAGAATTTTTATTTAGCTTGTACAAAACCCTTTGAGTATGACTTTGAAGCGGTGACCTGGTCATTTTTTGAAGCCGGCCACGGCGAAGGACCCGCTGACGGCATTGGTGATTTTTTAAACCGAACAGCAGACGGTATTGTTGCCAGAGAGAAGGACATTTCAAATATTGAACAATTCGTTAGTGCTTTGCAGGGAACGAGCAAGATTATACTGTATGTAATAATTAAAGAAGATATCGAAAATATTTCAAAAGAGCTTCCAAGAAACATCACAAGATTACAAGGTACTTTGCACATGCACCAACTGTTCACTTCCAAATACTCCACAACAAATAATTCCAAGTACTCGTACGTTGAGTTGTTTTTGCGAACGGGGATTTTGCAAGTGTTTAGAACCTAAAATTTACCATCCTGTTCCTCTGGTATCAACAACAACTGCTGATGCATCAGTCGACAATGATACTGCGATGGTGATTCCTTCATCTCCTACGGATTCAGCAGATGCTAGTGGTGCATGTGGTGATAATAATATCGTTAACACTCTTTCGTCTTCTATGCCTTCTGACGATGATGTACCTCCTAACAGAATCAAATCGAGGTGTTCCGGAGCTACAGTAACTACTGCTAGCAAAGCACTAGCAGAAATAAACTGCACAGACTTAGCCAAGGACGCGGGTAAACGAGGAGCTGTTTACGATATGGTTTACGGTTCCGTAGACGCATCTAATGAAGAAAATCAGCCTACGACTTCTGGGAATAATAAAATGCTGCCAAGTAACGGAGATTTCCTTTTAGTAAGCGTCCACGCTGGTAAGAATAAAACTTATACTTACGCAAGCCTTGCACAAAGTGATCTCGAAGACGATGGCGAGATTAAAGTGATATTTCTCCGGGCATACAAGGGTGCAACTAAGTTTAAATTAGACGAAAACGATATAGCGTTTGTTGAATTTAATGATATTATAAAAAATTCTCCCTACACCAAAACAAATAATTAAGAACGGAAAAGTCTATTATAAATTTCAAGAACAATTAGACATATATGAAAAATAATATTTTATTACTCATTATTACAATGATAATATAAAATTACTTGTTTTGATTTATAGTACATAATATACTGATTAGAAGACTGATATTAAAGAAACTATTGACTAAGATTTTACTGAGCCTACATGTTACGTTAATAGTAAACCTTTATATTGACCATGTTACTAAAGAAAATAAGTGATATTAAATATGTAGTACAAAGATTAAGTAACATTTAAAAATAACTTGATATTGTTACTGATTCAAATTAATTATATTTATATTATTAGAGGGCATTTCGTTTTTTTTTTAATTTTTAAAAAAATTCTTGTTAAGTTTATTTTTTATACTTTCTTATTGTGTTACGTATCCATAATAATGTTCGTGATAAATAAACCAATTTTGAGGATATAATAATATGTCTATTAAGTTACCGAAATGTCTCTGAAGTTACTGATTTGTCCCTAAAATTTGAAAAGATTCATTGCAACTGAATCATATGAAAAAGTATTTTCTTACATCAAAATTGTATTTACGAGAATTGGCAAAGTAATGACTTCACACATCTTGAAAAGCTAGTTTGAACATTAGTGACTTTGAACTGATATTAAAAATTATTTCTCAAAACATTGAAAAGTAACTTAAGAGACGTAATAACATTGTATAAGTTTGTTATTATCGTAAGTCTTCTTCTGATATTTAATTTGTTGGGTATATATTTCTTAGCATTACTTAATACACCGATTTTCTAACAATATGTAACTGTTTTATTCGAATGAAAACCATATATCAGTAAGTAACACAGGGGACGAAAAACACGAACAACAACATTTTAAATACTGAAAAATATGTTTTATTATTAAAAACTTGCACTGCTGATAGCTTAATTTTAATTTTCAATATCCTTACTTTTGATTGCTCAGGTAGAATTTACAATTAATTTACACTTTTATTTTTTAATTTATTTTTTGAATCGAATTGTTTGCGTACAAAGAATAGTTGATTGACCCATCTACATTTATATTTAATTAGAAATCAAAACGCGGATGCGTTGTCAGCCCTGAGGACTGAGATAAAATGCCTCCTTTCCAGTAAAATGGGTCTCTGGTTCTATACTCTATACTTCTATCTATACTCACCATACGAAACACAGCACCATTACGCTGCTATTTCACGCTGGTATTCTGTGAGAGCGTGAACCTTCTCCGGTCGAGCTGAATCATTCGTGCTGCAACCACAATATAGCTGCAGCATGGCTCTACCACTTAAAAAAGATGGAGATGTACTGTACATACAAAAGTTTGTTCTTTAATTACACACGAACAAACATTAGAACCAAAATAATTATTTGTGGGCCATACAATCATCTTATTTCATGCAACTGAATCCACCAGTGGTGACCCAAGGTATTGTTAAGATAAAACATTATCTCAGGACTACGCTCTCACAGAATACCAGCGTGAAATAGCAGCTTAATGGTGCTGTGTTTCGTATGGTGAGTGTAGAGAACTGGAGACCCTTTTTACTGGAAAGGAGGCGTTTCATCTCAGTCCTCAGGGCTGGCAACGCAGCTGCAATTACCAGATTGATGCTGTGTTTCGTATTGTGAGTGTAGAGAACCCGAGACCCGTTTTCTAAAACTACTGAAGCATTCCATCTTATTCTTCATGGGTGACAAGACAACGCATCTACTTGGGTTTCTTAATGGGTTGCAGCATCCATTTACCATCAGGTGGACTGTGTGCCCTTTTGTCATGCATAGTCTGTAAAATACTTATACATATATACATTTAGACTACATAAGCAGTACGGTGATTTTTTACGGCAAACGCCGTTTTAATCATAGAATACTATAATACACTATAGAATGGCTGTCAACCTTATTTTGTACGAGATTCGGCACTACTACAAACCCGATTCGCTGTGTTGACAGACGGATTATTATACATATTTATTTGTAAATAGCGTGCAATTTGGCTGTATCATGTGTCGCTTCATGTATGGAAGTGAATGCTGGGCCGTCAAGAAGAAGGATGAAAATAGACTGCATGCGAATGAAATGAGAATGTTACGATGGATGTGTGGTGTGACAAGGATGGATAAGATAAGGAATGAGTATATAAGAGGAAGCCTGAAAGTAGCGCCAGTGGTAGAAAAGGTGAGAGGAAGCAGATTGGCATGGTTTGGGCATGTGATGCGGAGTGATGAAAGTCATGTCACAAAACGAGTGTTGAATATGAATGTGGAGGGACACACGGGCAGAGGAAGGCCGAATAAAAGATGGATCGATTGTGTGAAGAGTGATATGAGAATGAAAGGAGTAAGTATGGAAATGACGGCTGATAGAGAGGAATGGATCAAGAAGATTTACTGCGCCGACCCCAGATAATGGGAAATGGTTTAGAGAATGATGATGAGCGTGCAATTTGGCATTTTCTTAATAATTTTCACGCGAAATTTGGAAACGATTGTAACGTCAAAACACATCTCGTGTTGACATTTATACGTGTGAATTGACGTGTTAGTGGCATTTTAGTGGCTACACGGGCTCCGCCCACTCCCCCGTTCTATAATGTATGTATTATAGAATTCTTAGTTTTAATCGTCCCGTAAACTCCCACTACTGAACATGGAAGGATTTGTCTTAATTGTCACGCTCGGCATAGGACAGAATCGCAGAACCAGATTTGAGCACCTCATACAGTGTAGCTTGTCGTCGATCTGGCCATTTTACATCTGAGGTTAACGAGGTGGTTATATTGCCATCTATCGGAAGCCAAAAGATTTGTCTGGCAAACCCATAGTCGCCTCTCACGAAATACAAATGTGATGATGCATTCTCTTACCCTTACACGGCAACTTTGACTATATTATATACTTACTACAAAAATACAGGTCAAAATGTATGTATGTATAACACTAGTTGGCTAGCTGTGTGGGATACGTAGCTGCGATTATTAAATTAATGTAATCTTAACATAGCCTTCTGACCTTCACAAGTTCTGACGTTCTTCTGAAAGTCAATTTAGTTTCTCTACCGTTCTTTTCCTCCAAAAATGATTATGAGAGACATTATTCAGAATAATTGGCTAAAATACCTTATTTATAGCAACAGTATTTAGTATCAGTATGTAAAATATTATAATTTCTCTATTTCTCCCATGGTTAATTGATAGAGAATGCCAAAAGGCATAAACTCTGCCCATTGTAAACTGTTTCTGGTGTCTTACAATAAAGATGCAATGTCTTAAAATAATTCTAATTCATATGCATTTCAGAACAATACATCACACCAATCAATAGTTTTTCAGAACCGTCTGAGAATAATACTAAATCAAATTCGAAGTACAAAGATGTACGGAAAGAAAACCTCGATTTTGAAAGCTCTTCTATTAAATCAAACCCTAAAGTGGAAAAAGATAATCAAATATTCAATAAAAAAGAGAATCATTCTGCAAAGACGAAAAACACACTAGTTGAACAATCTCCAGTACCACAATTAACGGAGGTATATAATTGTGATCATTGCGAATTTAAAACATCTCAAAAACGTTACATTTTGGCACATTTTAAAGCGCACGCTGCTAAAAAAGTGTACTGTTGTAATGATTGTGATTATAAATGCAGAAGAAAATGCAGTTTGATATACCATATTATGAAAATACATACCGGAGAAAAACCTTTTTCGTGTAATATCTGTAAATATAAATGTGTAAAAAAAGCTCATTTGAAAGATCACATGAAAATACACAGCGGAGTAAAACCTTTTTCGTGTAATATCTGTGAATATAAATGTATTCAAAAAAGTAATTTGCAAACACATATGAAAATACATACTGGAGTAAAACCTTTTTCGTGTATTATCTGTGAATATAAATGTTTTACAAAAGATAATTTGCAAACACATATAAAAATTCATACCGGTGAAAAACCTTATTCATGTCATATCTGTGAATATAAATTTAATACAAAAAGTAATTTGCAAAGGCATATGAAAATACACACCGGAGAAAAACCTTTTTTGTGTAATATCTGTGAATTTAGATTTATACGAAAGAATCATTTGCAAAATCATTTAAAAATACACACTGGAGCAAAGCCTTTTTCGTGTAATATCTGTGAATATAAATGTATTTTAAAAAGTAATATGCTAAGGCATATGAAAATACACACCGGGGAAAAACCTTTTTCGTGTAATATCTGTAAATATAAATGTATTCAAAAAAGTAATTTGCGAACACATATGAAAATACACACTGAGGTAAAACCTTTTTCGTGAGATATCTGGTGAAATATGTACATATTATGTAAACATTTTTATATAAATATTATGGTGTAGGTATCAGATAAAAATCAATATGAAATTATAGAACTAGTATAAAAACTTTTCCTTGCCTTGTGTGCTAATTGGAACTGTATTTATCCTGAAGAAGCTAATTTAAAAACCAAATACCAAATATCTTTCATATGTAAGTTATTCTTTACTCTTTCTTTACTTAACATTAGTACTATTCATTTCTTTTTATTGTTAAAAATTGCATTAATAATGGTCCAAAGCAACGTTTGTATTGTGTCAGATTTGTTTACCAACACAGGTCGCTCGCCGTCATACAATTATACGGTTCGGCTTCGGTCAAACGACTGATCCGAGCAAATAGTATAGTAAAGGCGGCTACTCACGAGCATGCCGCAGGGGCAATCTAGGATGGATGTACTGTACACCGATCGGGGCAATATCAGAACTGTATCTACACACATACCTGCCGTTTAGTATAAGAGTAGACATCTCTTTGGACACACGCGTTGAGAATGGCGCCAATTTTATCGAAATATCAATGAATTGGTAAATATAGCCTTGGTCTTTTTTATCTATCTATATAAAATACAAAAAATGTTTTGACTTATGTCCGTTAATCCATTATAGAACCATCCAACAGATGTGCCCCAAGCTGGTTTCATGAGAAAGGCA